AAGGGGGAGGGTCTGTGGTTTGGGGACATTTGGGGACACAACGATGGGGGTGGAGGCAATAAAAAAAAAAAAGAAATTTTTTTAAATTTTAATTAATGATTTCATTTTACTTTTAAATCAAATTCATTTTAATTTTAATATTTTAAAAATCCATTCATATAAATACGTATAAAGAATACGCTGCTATGAATAAAAACAAATAAAAGTAAAATACATTTTTTGTTATTAATGAAAATAATAAAAATAAATCTTAATAATATCAATTTAATCAAAATGCGAATAATGAAAAACGAATAGATTGTAATAAAAAAAAGTAAGATAAATAAAAACAACATAAATTACATTGAATTATTTTATTTTATTTCACTGAATTTTATATTTAATTTTGAATTTTTTCAATTTTCCATTTATTTGATTACAATTCTTTTATTCCCTTTACTTCCATTTTCTTTCATTGATCCCCAAAGGTGAAAAACGAAAAGAACGAAGAAAACCCAGAAGAAAATGAAATTCTTCATTTTTGATTAAAATAATATTAATTAATAGCGATTAATAAACGGTCATTGACTTTAATCGATGTTAATAAATGTTAGCGAGGAAGGAACCTGGCAAAATATTGAAATAAGAAATAAAAATAATAGAAATAAAACCAATAAAAATAGAAATAAAATGAAATAAAAAATAATATTTACTGTATTATTATTATTATTATATTTATTATTACTGTATTTATTACTATAATAATAATAATAATAATAATAATAATAATAATAATAATTATTATTATTATTATTATTATTATTATATAAATTAAAAGTATTGTCATTCATAAACCTCAAATAAACAAAGTTAACAAATTAATGATGGAAGTAATTAATTAAAAATATAATTTCAATAACAAAAATAATATAAAATAAAAAATAATATTTTATTGTTTTAGTCTATTATTGTTATTATTATTATCAATAAATTTACTAATTTTATAATTTATTATTATTGTGACTATTATTATTATTATTATATTTATTATTATTACTATTACTATTATTGTTATTATTATTATTATCAAAATAAAAATATAAATTAAAAGTATTGTCATTCATAAACCTCAAATAAACAAAGTTAACACATTAATGATAGAAGTAATTAATGACAAATAGAATTAAAAAAATAAAAAAATAAAATAAAAAATAATATTTTATTGTTTTAGTATTATATAATTATTATAATTATTATTATCATTATTATTATCATTATTGTTATTATCATTATTAACATTATTATGATTTTGTAATTTATTATTGTTGTTATTATTATTATATTAATAATTTATTATTATTTTTATTATTATTATTACTATTATTATTATTATTATTATTATTAATAAAATAAAAATATAAAATAAAAGTATTGTCATTCATAAACCTCAAATAAACAAAGTTAACAAATTAATGATGGAAGTAATTAATTAAAAATAGAACTAAAAAAAAAATTTACTTTAAATTGAAATTCATTTAAATTTAAAATAATTGAATTTACTGAAACTTTGTTAAACAAAAAGGAAATAAAACAAAATAAAACTTCAAATCAATTAAATTAGACTAAAATAAACTCAATAAAAAGAAAATGAAATAAAATAAAAAATAAAATAAAATAAAATAAATTTACTTTAAATTTAAATTCATTGAAATTTAATTTACATAAATTTGGTAAATAAAAAGGAAATAAAACAAAATAAAACTAAAAAAAAATTAAAATAAAATAAACTCGATAAAAATAAAATAATATAAAATAGAAATAATCTAAATTAAACTAAAAATTAATTAAATTAAGTTAAAGTAAATAAAATCGTCATTAAATTCAAAAATTCACCTGGAAACCAATAAAAACAGAAAATCACAAAAATCGGAATTAAAAGTCCCAAAATTGGCAAGAATTAAAATTCAATAAAAATGAAAATTAAAAGGAAAATTACAATTAAAAGTAAACTTTTAATGAAATTAAATAAAAATAAACTGACCGACAAAATTTACAATATGATTTAGTTAAAAGTGGAAATAAAAATATAAATTTTAAAATAAAATGAAAATTATCGATAAAGTAAATATATCATTTAAAATTAAAGCAAAATAAATCAAAATCAAAAAGAAATTTAAAATAAAAAAGAAAAAAAATGAAATTAAAATTAAAATTAAAGTAAAATAAAATTAAACAAGATAAAATAAATATATAAATTTAAAAGGAACTTAAAGGTAAAATTCAGGCTGAAATTCCATTTAGAAATTAAGATAAAATTGAAAACACAATAAAAAAATAAAATTAAAATGATGTGAATAGGAAAAAGAAAATTAACTTCAAATAAATTTAGAAATAAAATTAGAATGGAAAATAGAATAAGAAATTAAAATGAAGAGAAAAAATAAAATTAAAATTGATATTAAAAATATGAAAAAAATTCAAATTGAATTATAGTAAAAAATAAAATTCCAAAAAAAATAATCATTAAAATAAAATTATTATTTTATTTTATTTTTTTGAAATTTAAATTTAATTGAAATTTAATTGGAAAAGAAAAGGAAAATTAAAAGAAAAATAAACTTAGTATGAAATTAAAAAATGAAATTATACTCACAATTGTAATTAAAATTTAAATAAGTTCAAATGAGTTTAAAATGAAAATACAAAATAAAAATTACAAATAGAAATAAAATTATATTGAAATTAAAGTTTAAACTAGATTTAAAAATAAAATCACTATAAAATTAAGTTAGAAAATAGAAATAAAATAAAAATAAAAGTAAATCAAACTTAAATGAGAATAAAAAAAGAAAAAGAAAAGAAAAGAAAAATCAAATAAAAGAAAAATAAAATTAAATGAAACTAAAATAGGAATAAAAAAGAAAAATAAAATAAAATAATGAATTAAAATGAAATAAAATAAAATATTAAAATAAAATAATAAAGTAAAATAAAATAAAATATATAAAGTAAAATAAAAAAAATAAATTAAAATAAAAAAATAAAATAAAGTAAAAAAATAAAGTAAAATAAAGTAAAATGAAGTGATAAATTAAAATAAAATAAAATAAAATAAAATAAAAGAATAAATTCAAATAAAATAAAATAACATAATAAACAAAATAAATAAAAATAAAATAAAATAAAATAAAATAAAATAATAAAGAAAAATAAAAAAAATTAAAAAATATAATAAAATAAAATAAAGTAAAAAAAATATTAAATTCAAATAAAATAAAATAAAATGAAATAAAATAAAGTTAAATAAAATAAAATAAAATGAAATAAAATAAAATAAATCAAAATAAAATAATGGAAAATAAAATCAAATAATAAATGAAAATAATATAAAATAATATATTAAAAGAAAAGAAAAGAAAAGAAATTATAATAAAATAAAATAAAATAAAATAATAAAACGAAATAAAATAAAATAAAATAATAAAATAAATAATAAAATAAAATAAAATAAAATAAAATAAAATAAAATTAAATTAAATTAAATTAAATTAAATTAAATTCAAATTCTTCACCCCAAATCCTCATTCTTGGCCCCAAATCTCAGCTCTTTGCCCCAAATCTTGCTTCTTCACCCCAAATCTCAACCTTACACCCCAAATCTCAACTCCCGCCCCAAATCTTCGTTCTTGGCCCCAAATCCCCACTCCTGGTCCCAAATCTCAGCTCCTGGACCCAAATCTGCACTCGTAGCCCCAAATCTCAGCCTTTGGCCCCAAATCTTCATTCCTGGCCCCAAATCTTTGTTCTTAGCCCCAAATCTTCGTTCTTGGTCCCAGATTTTTGTTCTGGGCCCCAAATCTCCACTTCTGACCCCAAATCTCCACTCCCGGCCCCAAATCTCCACTCCCGGCCTCAAATCTCCATTCTTGGCCCCAAATCTTCGTTCTGGTCCCCAAATCATCGTTCTGGGCCCCAAATATTCGTTCTGGGCCCCAAATCTTGCCTCTTGGCTCCAAATCTTCAATCTCGGCCCCAAATCTTCACTTCTGGCCCCAAATCCTCATTCTTGGCTCCAAATCTCAGCTCTTGGTCCCAAATCTCAGCTCCTGGACCAAAATCTTCATTCTTGGCCCCAAATCTCAAACTTTTGCCCCAAATCTCAGCTCCTGGCCCCAAACCTCAGTTCTTGGCTCCAAGGCTCAACCAAGGTCCCCAAACCTGGGTGCAAATGGTCGAGATTTGGGGAAAACGGGCCAGATTTGGGTCCGTGGGGGTCAACAATGGTGTCAAGGTTAGGAGGGAAGGACCTAGGGAACGGGGATGGGGACGGGACCAAAATTAGAACCAGCAGGAGGAGCCTCCCAACCTCATCCATCATAGGCGTTTTTGGCACAGAAATAGGATCCGGAATCCTCGTCCTTGAGGTTGTTCATGGTCAGCGTCACCGAGCTCTGCCTGTTGTCCCTGGAGATGCTGAACCGGCCCTTAACCGACAGCACGTATCTGGGGGTGGAACCATCACCGTTGATCCCCGCGACGTATTCAAGCCCCAGCCCGGGTTTCTGGCGCATCCAGAACATTGCAGATTTCGTGAAATTGAAGCCAGATGCTTGGCACAGAAACGTCAGGGACCCCCCGGGGAGCTGGAGGTCCCCCCCGCACTCCAGCAGGGTCATGGCCGCCCAGAGCCCTGCGGGACAAAGGGGAGATGGGGATGAGGCCCCGGATCCAGGTGTGGGTCCGGCTAGGGGTGACCAGATCCAAAACGGGTCCTCGAGCCCCCTGGGAGGGCCGGCAGGATCGGGAGGAGGAGAAAGTGCCACCATTTGGGGCCAACACCAGGATCTGCATGCAGGAATCAACATTTGGATGGATTTTTTCCCTCATCCCCATCTCTCCTTGGTCCCGCAGGGCTCTGGGCTGCCGTGACCCTGCTGGAGTGCGGGGGGGACCTCCAGCCCCCCGGGGGGTCCCTGCGCCTCCCCTGCGGAGGGTCCGGGTTTGATTTCGGGAGCTACGACATGTACTGGATCCCCCAGAGCCCCGGTCAGGGACTGGATCGGCTCATGGGGATCACCAACACTGTTGGCAGAACCTACTACGCGCCATCGGTCAAGGGCCAGTTCAAAATCTCCAGGGAACACGGGCAGAGCTCGGTGACGCTGACCATGAACCACGTCAAGGACGAGGATTCCGGATCCTATTTCTGTGCCAAGGGTGTTCATGCTGGTTATGTGGGTCCTGGTGCTAATTTAGATGACACCCATGGTGGATCCAAGTCCCCACTACAGTGTCCTCTCCTGTCCCCAATCCCCAGACGTTGCCCCTAACTCCCAGCCCTTCGCCGCATTCTTGACCCTTTGTCCCAGATCTCCTGCAGTTCCACAAGACAACCATGGAGCCAAAACCCCCAAGCGGGTTCTGCCCCACATCCAACTAAGTTTGCACCAAAGTCGCCCGATTCTGCCCCAAAACCCCACTTAGCGCTCCCAGCCACAGGTGCTGACACGAATCCTCAACCTTTGTCCCCAAATCGGGGCCCTGGGCACAAAACCCTGAGCTTCAGAGTAAAGTTTGGGGCACAAAGAGGAGATTTGGGGTCAGGAGTTGTGGTTTGGGGTCCGCGGGTGAGAATTGGGGCGGAGGCAGAGCAAGGTTGGGATCAATGGTCAAGGGCTGGGTGTGCGCTGGGGGTTTGGGGGAAGGGTCTGGGGCGCGGGGACAGGAGGGGATGAGGAGATGCAGATGGCAGGTTAATCAATACGAGCAGGACTAGCACCAGTGTTATATGATTTGGCACAGAAATAGGATCCGGAATCCTCGTCCTTGAGGTTGTTCATGGTCAGCTTCACCGAGCTCTGCCCGTTGTCCCTGGAGATCCTGAACCGGCCCTTGACTGAATCCGCGTACCAGGGACTGCCACCATTGTTGCTGATATCTGCAATGATTTCCAGCGTCTGGCCTGGTCTCTGACGGATCCAGGCCATCCCAAAACTCCCAAAACTGAACCCGGACCCTCGGCAGAGGAGGAGCAGGGACCCCCCGGGGGGCTGGAGGTCCCCCCCAGACTCCAGCAGGGTCACGGTCGCCCGGAGCCCTGCGGGACAAAGGGGAGATGGGGATTGGGCCAAAGCTCAACCCTTGACCCAAAACCCTGACTCTGGTCCAAATTGGGACCCTTGGAGTTCATCATCCTCCCCCCAGGGGGATTCTACTCCTTTGTCCGGATGGCCACACCCACTTGGGGGCCCTTGACCAATCAGAGTTTTGATTTTCATCATCTCCCCTTTTTCCCGCAGGGCTCCAGGCGTCCGTGACCCTGCTGGAGTGCGGGGAGGACCTCCAGCCCCCCATGGGGCCCTGACCTTGCTGTGCCAAGGGTCCGGGTTCGGTTTTGGGAGTTTTGGAATGATCTTGATCCGACAGAAATCTGGGAAGACGCTGGAATACATTGCGAGTATCAGAAGTGGTGCTTACACAGATTACGCGCCGTCGGTCAAGGGCCGGTTGACGATCTCCAGGGACAACGGGCAGAGCTCCATGTCCCTGACCATGGACAACCTCAAGGACGAGGATTCCGGATCCTATTTCTGCGCCAAACTTGGTACTGGTAGTAGTTACGGTTATGATGGTGCTGCTCTTAGTGACAGTTCCGGCAATGGTCCCACCCGCCATGATGGTCACCAAAAGTCCCCAATCCCCGCAGATCCGTTCCCAATATCCCAGACCATCTCCTCAGATGTTCACCATTTACCCCCAAACTCTGGCATTACTGCCCCAATTTCCGACTTTCTCCCAATTTTGCCCGTTTCACCCAAATCTCCCCCAGCTCCCCGGGCCCTGATTGGAGCAGGCCTGAACTGGAGGCCAGGGGTGAAGGTTTGGGGCCAATGGTTGAGATTTGGGGCAGGAGCAGGGGAGGGTTTGGGGTCAGTGCTGACCACTGGGGCAAATGGGGGAGATTTGGGACAAAGGGTCAAAGGCTGAGGTTTAGGGGACAATTTGAAGGAAGAGTCTGGGTTTGGGGACAGTTGAGGACACCGAGATGGGGATGGATCCACCACGGCCATCGTCACTATAAGCAGCAGTACTACAAAAACAACTATCAGCACGTTTGGCACAGAAATAGGATCCGGAATCCTTGTCCTTGAGGTTGCTCATGGTCAGCATCACCGAGCTCTGCCCGTTGTCCCTGGAGATCCTGAACCGACCGTTGACCGATGGCGCATAGTACGTGCTGGAATCACGGCAGCTGATGCTTGCAATGTATTCCAGCCCCTGCCCAGGTCTCTGGCGGACCCAGTTCATTCCAAAACTCCCGAAACTTAACCCGGCCCCTTGGCAGAGGAGGCGCAGGGACCCCCCGGGGGGCTGGAGGTCCCCGCCGCACTCCAGCAGGGTCACGGCCGCCCGGAGCCCTGCGGGACAAAGGGGAGATGGGGATGAGGCCAAAGCTCAACCCTTGACCCAAATCCTGACTCTTGGCCCCAAACTGTGACCCTTGGATTTCATCATCCTCATCCCAGGTGAGTCACATCCCATTTTGCAGCAGACCACACCCACTTTGACCCCACAGCCAATGAGGTTTCTCATCCCCTTTGTCCCGCAGGGCTCCGGGCGGCCGTGACCCTTCTGGAGTGCGGGGGGGACCTCCAGCCCCCTGGGGGGTCCCTGACGTCGCTGTGCTGAGGGTCCGGGTTCGATTTTTGGGATTATGGAATGTACTGGATCTGCCAGAGACCCGGGCAGGGTTTGGAATACGTTGCAGGGATCTGGAGCAGTGGTGGCACCATCTACTATGCACCATCGGTCAAGGGCCGGTTCAGGATCTCCAGGGACAGCGGGCAGAGCTTGGTGACGCTGACCATGAACAACCTCAAGGACGAGGATTCTGCCACCTATTTCTGTGGGAAAGCTTCGTGCTCTGGTTGTGTTCCTAGTGCTGCTTATGTTGACAATGCACGTTATGGCCTCCAGCTCCTGGTTCTGGCGCCACTCCCATCATTGAGTCCCAAGAGTTGTGATTTTCGTCCCAAATGTAACCCATTGACCCAGCCCTTTACCCTTTGTCCCCATTTGCAACAATGGTCAGAACTGACCCCAAACCCTGCCCTGCTCCTGCCCCAAAATTCAACCATTGGCCCCAAACCTTCACCCCTGAGCTCCAGGTATGACCTTGCTTTCCAAGAGTTCCCATTTGTGCCTGTGGCAGCCCAGCCAATCAGGGCCTGAGGAGCAGGGGGTGATTTGAGGACAACGTGGAGATTTGGGGTGAATTTTGGTGCCAACTTACTTTGGTTTGGGGCAGAACCAGTAAGGGCTTTGTGGCTTTGTGGTTGGCGTTGCTGGAAATGGGGGAGATCTGGGGGAAAGGGGTCAAGGGCTGAGATTTGGGGAAGGGTCTGGGGACTGGGGACAGGAAGGGCTCAGAAATGGTGGTGCCACGACCGGCAGGGTCAATATCAGCAGCAGCATCAGCACCACCATCATAAGCATATTTGGCACAGAAATAGGGTCCGGAATCCTCGTCCTTGAGGTTGTTCATGGTCAGCGTCACCGAGCTCTGCCCGTTGTCCCTGGACATCGTGACCCGGCCCCTGAACGATGGCGCGTAGTAGGTGCTGCCTTTGCTTTGGATCCCTCCAATGTGTTCCAGCCCCTGCCTGGGTCTCTGGTGCATCCAGGCCATCCCAAATTGTCCAAAATTGAACCCGGACCCTCGGCAGAGGAGGCGCAGGGATCCCCCGGGAGGCTGGAGGTGCCCCCCAGGACTCCACCAGGGTCACGGTCGCTCCCCCATCCCCAAACCTTCACTGCATTTCTGCCCCTAACTCCCTTTGTCTGGCCCCAAACCTCCAACAGTTTTTTCCAGTATTTTAAACTGCCCTCAACTCTGCAATTAGGCCCCATCCACCCATTAATTAATTGGACAGCTCTGCCTGATGTTTCCATCTACTCATCCCCATCTCCCCTTTGTCCCGCAGGGCTCCGGGCAGCCGTGACCCTGCTGGAGTGCGGGGGAGACCTCCAGCCCCCCGGGGGGTCCCTGCGCCTCCTCTGCCGAGGGTCCGGGTTCAATTTTGGCAGTTTTGAAATGGATTGGGTCCGCCAGAGACCCGGGCAGGGGCTGGAGTTGGTCGCGGGGATCAACACTGGTGGACGCACCGACTACATGGGTTCAGTCAGGGGCCGGTTCAGGATCTCCAGGGACAACGGGCAGAGCTCGGTGACGCTGACCATGAACAACCTCAAGGACGAGGATTCCGGATCCTATTTCTGTGCCAAAGCTGCTGCTGCTGGTTGGGGTAATGGTGCTGCTGATGGTTTTGACCCCACCCTTATCGCTATGCCACCCCTGTCCCCGTTCCTCAGACCCTTCCCCAAACCCCAGCCCCTGACCCCATTCCTGTCCCTGGGCCCCAACCCTGCCCTGGCCCTGCCCCACATTCTCAGCTCCTGGCCCCAAACCTCAGCTCGGGGCCCACTCAGGGCCATTTTGGCTCCTGGGCTGGCTCCGGCCCCTCTGCCAGGATCCCTGGGCTGAACTCGCCCAACTCCACCCAAATCTGCGCTGCTGCCCCAGAGCAGCCACCACTGACACAAATCCCCAATCCTGACCCAAATTGGGACCCTGGGCCTCAAACCCCGACTTTCAGAGCAAAGTTTTGGGGCACAAAGAGGAGATTTGGGGTCAGGAGTTGTGGTTTGGGGTCAGCGGGGGAGAATTGGGTCCAAGGCAGAGCAAGGTTGGGATCAATGGCCAAGGGCTGGGTGTGGGCTGGGGGTTTGGGGAATGGGGACAGGCGGGGACACAGAGATGGGGATGGCACCGTCACTACGACCGGGATTATCAGCATAACCAGCATCAGCTCTGGCACAGAAATAGGATCCGGAATCCTCCTCCTTGAGGTTGTTCATGGTCAGCGTCCCCGAGCTCTGCCCATTGTCCTGGAGATCCTGAACTGGCCCTTGACCGATGGCGCGTACCTGGTGCTGACACAACTGCTGTAGATCCCTGCGATGTATTCCAAACCCTGCCCGGGTCTCTGACGGACCCAGTACATTCCATAATCACCGAAACTGAACCCGGACCCTTGGCACAGCAATGTCAGGGACCCCCCGGGGGGCTGGAGGTGCCCCCCGCACTCCTGCAGGG